GTCTCTGCTTGGTCGATTGACTCAAGGACATGACATTAGTCGAGGTGTGACACTCCAAAGAGTGCTGGCCCGGACATCAGTTATCAAAAAAAAAAAAAAGTTGTAAATATAATATAATTTGTGTTTATTTATTACTATATTAGTGATGGGTGAGATTAAATTTATGAAATTACAAAATACCACCTTCTCATGATTACTAACCCCTCCTTTAAAAGGAGTTTCATAGTCCATGAGACTTAAGCCTATAGCAAATTTTTCAAAACAAGCATGACCTGGAGAGCTATATGTTGGAACCCTTTGAATAAAATAATTCTTGTTTTTTTTTTTTTTTTTTTTGTTTTTGTGTGTGTATTATAAAAATGCTTCTTATCATGAAAATCATTTGTTAATAAAAATTTATTGAACAGAGTACGGAGATCTCGTGATTAAACTGTGTAAGTCCCATAATTCAAATCATTTCAATTTCTTCATGTTGTGTTCTTGTAAAGAGATGCAAAAATTCTTTATGTATTTTTTTTCTTCTTTTCTTTCATTCTTTTCCTTTTTCTTAGTTGACAAATAATAAGTTGCACTGAATTGAGGGGTACGAAAAAGAAAGAAAGAGGGGTGAGGAAAAGGGAGAGATCATTCTTTTACAAGTCTGGGTAAATAAAAATTGTAGCTAAAATCATTTTGAGTGTATTCTACATCTTACAAATCTTTTTTATCAGCAAAACAAAAGCTTTATTGATGAAAAGAGGCACAAATACATGCAAAATTTACATCAACAAAGAAGGGAAAATTCAAAAGCATCATATCTAATTAGCACTTGACCCAAGATTGGTGAGAAAACAATCAAAAGTAGCCAAAGAAAACTAGAGAAACAAGAAAAACAGCAACAGACCAAGGAAAAACAAATGCTAGCCCTCTGCAGCAACACACAGAGTAACAAACCAGTGGCCATTGATCCTGCTGCCAAGAACTCCACCCAACACACTTCCAAACAGCAAAACAACCAATCATTTGGACTGAGAGCCAATTGGTGGGGCCAAAACAAAACAACTAAACAGAGCATCTGTTGTAGAACACCATTCTTTATCCACAGCATTCAACCTCCAAAACTAATCCAAAGCTTTGTACGTGAACTACTCTGGACAACTCATTAAAGTTGTGAATTCAAACACCATTAGAATAACACCATGCAGTAGAAAAGTGACCATTCAGCCACCATTCTTGAAACTCCAGCAGATCAGTCCACAAACAGCCCCAACTCAGCAAGCCAAACCAACAACATACAACCTTGAATGTCCTTTGATGGGGTTCTAATTTGTTGGATATGGGAAACAAAATCCTGTACTGAGTAGCAAATCCCTGCAACTTTGCTTTTAATCCACAAGGCCACTCTGACTTTAATCAGCTCCTGCAACTCACCAAAATTTGGCTGAGCATTAGTGAACTTACAATCATTCCTGTGCTTCTAAACAGAGCGTACCACTGCCAGCAACAAAGCTTTCCACAATCTTGCTTCCAACTTTTTGTATTGAAAGCCAGTCCACCATTCCAACAATCCTACGGAAGTCCCTGGTATGGCCCAGTAAATTCCCTACCAATTCATCAAATGGGACCAAACCTTCCAAATTAAAGGCCAACCCATCAGCACGTGATCTAATGTTTCCAATTCAGTATTACAAAAGATACATAGGTTGCTCATATTGGCTCCAAGCACACCAAGCTGTTAAAGATAAGTACAGGTTTTGATCCTACCTTTCCACACTAACCAGCCCAAGAATTGAACATTAGGTGGAGAGATGTTTGTCCAAATCAAATCAGTAAGGTGAGTATCCATACCAGTTGTTGAATCACTTCTCTGGTAAAGTGTAGACACCAGAAATTTGCTATATGATGATGCCTTCCATTTAAGCCAGTCCTCATGGTTACTCAACATAGGGATGGCTGCATTTAACAAAATATACAAGCTTTGAACCTCCTCTTCTTCCCAAGCAAATAGTGGTCTTCTGAATCTCAACTTCCATCCATCAGAATTTTTTTTTCCGTTCAATGCAGTCCTTCAAAGAACTAAGCTTATCAATTGACAAGTTGTATAATTTGGGATAAACTTCTAAAAGTGCTCTGGTCCCCATCCAGACATCAATCCAAAATTTGACTCTATTACCATTACCTACAATTACCTCTGAATTAGCTGCATAAAAATCCTTGAGACTCTGATTACAATCAGCAAGCTGCAATATGTCCAGCCAAGTCATAGAGTACTTAGTCTCAAGTTTCTGACTGGTAAACCATTCACCACCAGAGATTCCGTATTTATAGCAGATAGTTCTTCTCCATAAGGCTGTGGTTTCAGTTGCAAATCTCCACCACCACTTTGCTAAAAGACAGTCATTTAAATCTCCAACCTTCCTAACCCCCAGAACCCCCCTCTTTTTACTCTTGGTTACCTCTTCCAATTTCACCAAATGGATCTTCCTTTTCAAATCAGAGCCTTCCCAGAGAAAGGAAGCTTGGATTCTATCAATAGCTCTTGCAACACCTTCAGGTAATTTGAAAAAAGACATATATTAAACTGGCAAGCTGGATAGAACTGATTTGATGAGTGTAAGCCTACCCCCAAAAGAAAGAAATCTCCTTTTCCAAGATGCAAGCCTCCTCTGACACTTCTCAAATATTATAATTGCCCATGTACTCTTCCTCCTAGGATTTGCACCCAAAGGAAGACCTAAATAAGTGAATGGTAATGATATTTTCATACAATTCAATTTAGATGCAAAGTCAGTCACCATCTCATCCGGAACTCCTATTCCACAAATACTACTTTTATGATAGTTTATCTTGAGGGCAAACATGATCTCAAAACATCTAAGGATCCTTTTCACATTCAATACCTCCACCCATTCAGCTTTGCAAAAGACTATTGTATCATCAGCAAATTGCAAATGTGATATGGTTTCTTCACAAGTCCCCACTGGTACACACCTTTAAAAGCCCCAACTCTTTGGCTCTGGCTAGCAAAATGTTTAAGCCCTCAACCACAATGATGAATAAGAAAGGTGACAAAGGGTCTCCTTGCCTGAGACCTCTTTCAGGATTGAATTCAGCAGTTGGGGAACCATTTACTAGGATTGAGGTTCTTGCCGTAGTCACACAAGCTTTCATCCAGGTAATCCATCTATTGCCAAACCCAAGATTAGCCAACATAGAGAATAAAAAATCCCAATTCACAGAGTCATAAGCTTTCTCAAAATCAAGCTTTAGAATTAGTCCTTTTTTCTTCCTCTTCTTCCAATCATCCACCATTTCATTTGTAATAAGCACCCCATCTTGTATATTCCTGCCCCCAACAAAAGCTGATTGCACATCTCCTATGATCTTAAGCAACACCAACTTTAGCCCTGCAACAAGCACTTTAGCTAATATTTTATATACAGAACCAATTAAACTAATTGGTCGAAAGTCAACCAAATTGGTAGGATTTTCTTTCTTTGGGATAAGAGCCACAAAAGAGCTATTCAGCCCTTTAAGTAGAATCCCATGCTCATGGAATTCCGTAAAGAAGCGCATAAATTCATTCCTGAAAACTGGCCATTACTTCTGAAAGAACATCAGATTAAACCCATCCGGGCCAGGAGCTTCATTGCCATCACAACCTTTAATTGCAGCACAGGCCTCTGTTGCAGAAAATTCGACTTCCAAAACTGTAGATGATTGTTCACTATCAATATGTTGGAAGGGTCCACCCAACTTAGACCTTATTTTCCACTCATCAGAGAACAACTTCTTAAAGTGTGTAAACACTTTAGATTCTAGCCTTTGAGGATCTACATGCACAATACCATCCACTGAGACAGAGCTAAGGAGATTTCTAGTTTGTCTACTTGAGGCCATAAGATGAAAAAACTTGGTGTTATGGTCCCCCTTCAATGCCCATGTGAGTCAAGATTTTTGCAACCATAACCACCACTACAAGAAAAAACACTTTTGGCGACCACCTATTTTTTTTGGTCGCAAATAGTCCACTTTCTGCGACTAAAATTTAACTTTTGGCGACCACAATTTTTTGGTCGCGGAAAATCACCTTTTGGCGACCAAAAAAAAAGTTGGTCGCGGAAAGTATACTATTGGCGACCAAAGGCTTTTTTGGTCGCGGAAGATCACCTTTTGGCGACCAAAAAAAAAGTTGGTCACGGAAAGTATACCCTTTGGCGACCAAAAAAAAAAAGTTGGTCGCGGAAAGTATACTATTGGCGACCAAAGGCTTTTTTGGTCGCGGAAAGTATGCTATTGGCGACCAAAGGCTTTTTTGGTCGCAGAAGATCACCTTTTGGCGACAAAAAAAAAAGTTGGTCGTGAAAAGTCTACTATTGGCGACCAGAGGCTTTTTTTGTCGCGGAAGATTACCCTTTGGCGACCAAAAAAAAAAGTTGGTCGCGGAAAGTTATGGCGGGATAAATTTAAAAAAAAAATGATACTACAGTAATTACATGCTATTTTTCTATTTAGGCATTAAAAGTTTTATAAAATAATATATAACCCAATTTTTATGGGTTATATATTTTTTTTGTCAAATATGAACAAGAAGTATGTTATTGGTAGAGTGGCAGAGTGGATTGGGTGCATGGTGACTCCTTGGTCAGGACTTCAAGTCCCAGGGAGCACAAAAGAATTATTTTTTTTGGGTCAAGGCGTTGACTTTTGGCGACCAACTTATCTTTGGTCGCAAAAAGTTTACTTTTGGCTAATATGAATTGGACTTTTCGCGACCAAAAAAGTTGGTCGCGAATGGTCACTTTTAGCGACCAAAGGCTTTTTTGGTCGCAGAAAACTATCTGCGACGAGGCTTTAGCGACCAACTCGCGACCAACATATTTTGGTCGCGAAAAGGTTTTAGCGACCAAATATGGTACTTTTCGCGACCAAAAATGTTCGTCACGGAAAGTGTTTTTTCTAGTAGTGCACCCATTTCTCCTGCTTACCTTCCACAACTCATCTCTTACATCCCTTCTTCTTTAAATTTCAAAATCATCCAAAATTCTGGTTTCAACTGCAAGATCTAACACATGTAATTCCTCTTCAGCCTTCTTGATGTTCAGAGTCAAGTTTCCATAAACTTCAACATTCCATTTCCTTATGACCTCCTTTAAGATTTTCAATTTTTTCCACAGAACAAAACCAACCCACCCATGAGCCTCTGCTTCTAACCATGTTTTCTTGACAAGTGGAAGGAACAGAGGATGCAAAAGCCATGCATTAATAAACTTAAAAGGACATGGTCACCAATCAATTTCACTATCCAATAAAAGCACTGGACAGTGGTCTGAGATGACTCGTGGTAACCCCCAAAGTTTGAACTTAAACTTTACCAGCCACTCTGGATTAAACATGAATCTGTCTAGCCTACTCCACCTTGCTTCATCCTGGGAATTGCTCCATGTGAATTGCCTACCTAACATGGGTAAATCAGACACTTCCAATTTACTTATAAAATTATTAAAATCTTGCATTCCTCTATCCCTTCTAGAGCATGCTTTATGCTCCTCAACATTCTTGATCTTATTGAAATCCCCACCCAAACACCAAGGTTTAGGAAATTCAGATTTTAAATTACAAAGAGAATCCCAAAAAGTAGCCCTACAAGATACATCATTAGGAGCATAAATGTTAATAATAACACACTCAAAGTTACGAGAGAGTGAACTTGATAATAGTATAAAACTTTTGTTACTACAACAAGCAGATAGAGAGAAAACAGAAGGGTCCCATATACATAGTATGCCCCCAGCTAAACTAGACGCGTCCACTTCCATGAATTCCACCTGATCTCTATACCATAGTGATCTTACCATATCTAATAAGATTGCTGCCAATTTTGTTTCTTGCAAGAGAACCATATCCACTTCCTTTTCTTTAATGAGACTTTTTATTCTTCTCCTCTTCTCACCTCTTCGGAGCCCATGAACATTCCAGGATAGCATCTTCATAGGGAAACTAATACAAACTCCTGCAAACACCTAAGGGAATCCACTCAAATCTAAGCATCCCCCCATCTCTGGGCAGCTCTCTCGGCATCACCTATCTCCATAGCCTTGATTTTGCCCACCATTTCCTTATCCTTTCCATCACAAAGTATTTCCAGCGCCTTGCCAATCTGCAAAGCTGCATGTGCCTCCTCTGTGATCACTTTTTCCCTACTGAAATTATGATTGCTCGCCGTCGGTAGTGGAAAAGGTGGATGGGGCAAAGGGAGCAATGAAGGTGCTAAAGGTGGATGAAATCCAGTATTGTATGAGAAGGGACGATCTGCACAGCGAATCGTAAATGGTGCAGAGGTGTTTTCATTATTCATAGATAACATACCAATGTCTATGGATCCAAAAGATCTCTACTTTCTCTTTATGAAGTTTGGTGTGGTTAAAGATGTCTACATCTTACAAATCTTAAATCTACTTTAAATATTTTAGGCAAATTACATTAAATTTTTTTAAACTATAACTTATTTGCATTTTGTTCTCCCTTATTGCAAAACTCAACGATTTAAAGTATTATCTTGTTACACTCAACACTTTCCATTAAGATTTTGTTAGAAATTAAAAAAAAATCATATCATAACTGAAGTACATGTAGGGCTACAAATGAACCGAGCTATGAACTAGCTCGGTCCGGCTCGTTAAAGGCTCGGCATGGCTTGGTTCGTTTAGTAAACGAGCTGAGCTTGAGCTCGAATATTAGGCTTGTTTAGTAAACGAGCCGGGCTCGAGCTCGCATAAGTTCGGCTCGTTTATCTTTATTTAAATTATATAATAAATATATTATTTATATATTAAATAATATAAATAATATTTTTTACTTAATATATTTTTATTTAAATAATATAAGTAATATTAAAAATAATCCTATGGAGCCGAATTAAACTAAAGTTGAGTTTAATTACTTATTGAACCGAGTTCAAACTTAATAAATACAACAATACTAGGTATCATGAAAAGTCTTTTATGAAAATGATCATGAAAGATTTGTGACTTTTAAATTACACTTAAAATAAAATATCACACACTAATTAAATTTCATAATTATTTTCATAAAATTTTTTTTATGATACTAACATTTCTCTAATAAATAAGCTTGATAACCAAAGGAGTCGAGCTCGCGGCTCGTTTAACCCGAGACTTGATATAGACTCCCAATCTCTGTCGACAAGAGAGTCCTGAAACAAAACACAACCTACAGAAAAACAGAGCATATGAAGCCTTGCTATAGAAACAGAAACTCTTTGCATTACTAACTTCCAACTTTACATTATATACATAGCTCTACAGAAACATTAAATTTAATCACTAACATAACCCAGAATTTATCAACAAACACCAACAAAAACAAAATCAATTAATTGAGGAGCAAAACAAACAAACAAACAAA